GTGGGTTTCGAGATCATTAGCATTTTTTTCATTTGGTTTGGATGCACAGGAATCCCAACATGGCATCTTGGCTAATTTCAAACTTTACCTTTTGGGATTCCTGTTCATCGATACAGTCGATAATGCTGCAGTAAAAATAACTTCAAAGGTTGTAAATTTAATGTAAATACGATGTAAGTGTCTACATGTGCGACTTTGAAACGAGGATCTTCTCGATACCCTGTTCATCATAAAATGAGATAGAAACCGTTTAATACGTGAGGTACGCTATCAAAGGCTGCAGTTACAGATGTTTTTGATTTAACTAGCAACTTCTCTAAAGACGCTCAGATAATATTGTATGATAAGCATAATTTATTGATAGAGTGACATCATTTAAAATATAGACCAACAAACAAAAACCGGATGGGAGTGACGTACAAATACAAAAAACCTGCACAAAATATTATCCGGAAATAAAATCCCAAAAGCAACGAGCTCCTGGAAAAGAGATAACCCTGAAAAAAATATCCTACCGCCAAGATGTATTATCTAATATCTATTTCACGACATTAAGGTCATTGTGCGGACTTTGAAAGAGCCATTAGGATGGTGAATMAATCATATATTTTAATTTTATTTTAAGCGTTCTCTCTTCGTTTTTGAATACCATTTTGCCACATTTCCTAGCATTTGAACTAAAAAAAACCCGCAGTCTAGACAATGCACGCATTATCATATCATTAGCTTGAACATTTTGATTAGATGTCAACGATATTCATGTGAATACTCCGCGTTAGTCACGGCTGCTAGACTACACCCTGGGGCAAACATCCTTTGTTATGACTGTTATGACGCCGTTATGTGTTATGTAAAACCTTTAGTCAGTTTACAAGTGCGCCATGAAGATAGAAAATTATAATTTGTAAGTTATTTCGTCGATAATTGCCGTTTGTTAGTACGATTTTTACAGCTACGTGTTTAGCTGGTAGGTCATGATTCTTGATTATCCAACGATGCTTGTTTTTTACCACAATCGGTGACGTCATCGTGTGACCCGCGTCCTTTGTCTAAGATATTAAATCAGAGGAAGCACTATGATATCTTCTGCAGCAGGTTGCTTGGATTCTCTGAGTAAAAAGATGAAAAATATAGCAGCAGGCGACCATTCATTTCAATGTAAAGATATTAGGTTTTTTTGTCGTTGTATTAAAATTCACGCTCGCTGCCCAGAGGGCACATATAGTTATGACGAATGATTATTTGCACCCTTCACTCGCGAATTATATATTTGTTTTCGAAAGTATGTATTATCGARGCGAGACAGATTATGTGCCTTAAAAGAAGTGACAACCGGTTTGACATGASTTAATAAGATCTAATAACTACAAAGAGATAGTCGGATTGTCACGTCTATTGAGCCATCGATGTGGTATTCACTAAAAAATGAGAGTGAAATATCACCAATAAATGATGCAACCAAGCTATCACATTGTTACTTTCGATGCTGAGTCTGTAACCCTACGATTCACATCACGTTTTCAAATTGGGTTCGAAAGAACAATCGTGTGCACTGGCACGCTTTGAAATCCCTTGCACTTTCAGATTTCATTGAATCATTGTAGCGAATTATGGACGATTGACCCTCGAAATACGTTCGGGATGCGTTCGGCTTTGGTTCGGAGTTACAATATCAATCGGACGTGACCCGATCACAGTAACGGCCAGATGATTTAGAACAACGTGGCCTGAATGTAAACACTTTGTTGTTGGCGCTCTTTCGATTCTAAAAACCAGATTACAGTTGGGGCAGTGGCCCGTTTTTGTAGACAATCGAATTGATCACATCTTGTCATTTGTCCAACCAATTTGTTGTATTTCTTCAAAAYTTCCACTGTATTCTTTGATTCTGAAAGTGGCACGATGTCTCTCACAGACAAACCTCTACCAATGAACCAACTATGTGTGGCGATGGTACAGGACCTTGGTAAAGTCTACGAAAATAACGCWGCCCATGAGAAGAATGACTTGAACACSGTTTGGGAGAGYATGTACTCTAAAGGTCTWCACAGAAAGGTCAGTTCGCAGTGCTATTTCACACCAGAGGAAATCGAGCAGGCAAGAAAGAAAGAAGAATTAGAAAAAAAGGAAAAGAAAGAAGAATTGAAAGAGGAGGTGGAAGATAASAACAAGAAGGAGGAAAGCAGCACCAATGTGGATGATGACGATGATGAAATCTTTGAAACATCGAGAGATTTTGCAAGCGTTCACCTTAGCCGAGCAATGAATTCAGGACGAGCGCATTTGCACGACGAAGGAAGACGCTATCGGAAGAGAACMTTCTCAGGATCTARTGGTGGGGAAAATCATTCACACTGAACTGACTCTGTGAACGTTTATTTAAGGTATCGCCCCCTTGAAATACGATCTTCTGGCAAAGAGTTTACTTCTGATTTGACCACGTTTTCTGGAGAAAAAACATTCTTCATCCAATTAAAGCTGAAGAGCGATATTTTGGTATTGTACAATGTACGAAATGTTAAAGTGAGCTAATCTAGGCTTAAAAATCGGATGAGGATTGAAATGTTAATGTATGCCTCGTGGATGGTCGTACCCTKATTAAGGTGCATGCAATCGATTTATTTATGTGTAAATCTTTTATACATAGACTGACATCGACTACGTACTTAGATTACTTTAGAGAACGCTTCTATATCGAATTTTGATAGTTTGTTTTAATAGAAAAGCAAGTTTATTTCGTGATATTTAATTGATTTAGAGCAACCAAGTGCTATTCTTTCATCCTTCGTTCATTGTTATTGTTGAATATTTACATTTGTAACGCGAGCCTTGATTGGCTGAAGGGAAACRCACACTGTGTCTACGTGACTCTAGTCTTTTCAAAATACAAACATGAAAGCCAGACCGTACTTTGAACCGCGGTCTTAAAAAAAAACATACAAATTTTTTTCACTTCAAAAGGAAATTATTGATAAARTATATCTATCAAATAGAATGTAATACTTAGAATAAAGTATTTTAGGAACCAAGGTATTGTGTTGTTGTTTTCTTATATTGTCGGGCTGCTTTGTACTTAACAATMTTGTTTTCATTTTTTCATTTTTATTTGAAAGAATGGTACGCGTATGTCTTGGGTCACTGAATACGATTTTGTATGTGCAAATGACACAGCTGTTATAAGTTGGGTCTAATAGATACAAAAAAGGAAAAAAATAATAAAGAAAATGGCAAACTTAATCTCTTTAGCCTTGAGGCAAAGGGGAAAGGTTGCTCCACAGGAATCTCGGTTTTCCGGCTATTTGTTTCATAAATTATAAATTCGAGAAAAACAAGACTGATTCCATAAGTCGGTACCAGTTCCCTCTCGTCAGAGACAAACCGAAAAATCGAGGAGCGAATACTACGACTTCTRAATCCTAGAGAAAACCAGTTTGATCAGATGATAATTTGGCAAATTTTACCTAAAGTCCAAACAAAACCGTTTTATCTGACGTTGATCTGAATCAATTAATTTTTACGGATTATATTGTCAAAAAAATTCAAAGTACGCAGAATTACTCATAAACTCGACTCCAGCAACTAAATTAGACGCGGCAAAAGGTCGACGTCTGAACTTGGCATTCCTTGCCTTGCTCATTGGGATTCCTGTGCTCCCACTACCCTTTGACGTCATCACAACAACGCCATGTTTGTTTTTGTGCTTCGGATATTTTTTTTCAACAAAGCTTCGATCATCCTATCATTTCAGATATCTGATGCTTCGTCCCTCTTAAGCTTATGATTTTCTTAAAACAAAGGCATTGATTTAGTACCAATGGGGACAGGAAATTCTAAAGAACCAAAACCTAAATACTGCAATCACTCGCCACTGCCTGAAGACTCTGTACAATATGCAGGTTCAAGGTACACCTACTTACTTTGTCAGGTACAAGTACAGTTGTCATCGAATAGTAAGTGACATTTTATCTTAATTATTGTTATTGTATTGTTAAAGTAATTGCGTTTTAATTTACTTTAAAAGGCGTTCTATAGGATCAGTAAGGTAATAGCTCTCCAAATAGACATTTTCCGATTTGCAGGCGTTTCGAAAGTATGAAGTCAAGAGCTTCAGAACACCCTTCAAATATATTTGCATGTCTGCAATAATTTTGAAAGATTCTGGGAACCTATTATATTAAATCATCAACAAATATTTCTCCACTCTCAGTGGTGTATTAAGCTGACCACTTGAAGGGTTTAGTGCCTCCCTTGGATAGAAGACTTCTATCARTGCATAGAGCCTGTACTTCAGAAAATTAAATAATAATTTTTTTTGAGTAATAATCTTGTTGAATAGTTGAAATCTTGGGCATGTGTTCTCAGGAAACTATTTGTTTTTTGGATCCATTCTGTTTCCATGGACACAGAATATAATGTCCTTGATTCAACTACTCTATGGTTTAATTAGAACACCCCTTGGATTTACTGAAGGCATTTTTTAAAATACTATTGTTTGACGTTGTTAGTAATATTATGTAAAAACTTGTTATGCTGCGCATCAGCCTGTAAGCATGAACATATGTTTACATTGAAGTGTCTTAACAATAACTTAACCTTTAGTGACTTTTGGATTCTCTGGTGGCCGTCCAATGGTAACAACTAACATTGATAGCTACTACCAAATGCTGTCTCAATACTGCCAACAAGGATACACTCTGAATACATTTTATCGAGTGCCTTTTGTTGCACAGGCATCAGGCTTTGGCTCGGTTGTCATGCCTTATGAAGCYATGTTTTCAAAACCAGCAGATGGGTAGGTTCTCATGCTAACCATACTAATSTTTTTACTGCAATGACCACTTCAGGTATTTTGCTTGATAAACCATGCACAA